CAGCTGCTGGTTGGTGGGGGCATTCTAGTCCATGCTGTGGGAAGACATGAAGCAGGCTGTTGGAGGGAAGGAAATCACCTTCTGTTCACTGGCCATGGTGATCAGGCTCTCTTCTTCTGTTCAGCATGGCATTGTATGTCCTCCCTATAAAGATAAGAGTATCATGTCCCAGAAGCATCGAGGCTGCCTGCTGATGGACCAGCATGAGGCAGGGACAGCCGAAAATATCTCCTGAGCCAGAGTCTCTCCAGTCTGTGCCAGAGCATTGGCCTGCAGTCAGCTCTGCTCTCTGAGCACACCCAGCCCCTTTCTACTCTCCGTTTCCACCTCTGGCCAGTGCTGCCAGTGGACACAGCAGTTCTTGCCACAGAGCACTCACGTCCTTGCACAGCTCCAATGCCCTCAGCCCAACTCCTATCCCATCAGGTCCTGGCTGTTCCCACCACATTGGGATGGATCCCTTTCCCGCAGTTTGGGCACATTCAGACCAGTGAGGGCTTCAAGGGCTGCTTTGACTTCAGAGGAAGCCCAGGGTGCAACCCTGTGTTCCACCCAGCACAGCCCAGCCCCCCTGCCCTCCTCACTCACCAGAATGGAAACGTACACCCAGGAGATTGATATCGATGTTCAAAGGCTCATTCCTTGTTACTGCTACAGGGAGGAGAGCAGCGTTAGGGTGCTCTCTGTGACCCCCATCTCCCCCTGCCACCTGCACCAGACCCGGCCTCCCCACAAGCACGCAGGGAGCAGAGCAGGCAGCGAGGGCTGGGGCTGCAGGGACGGGGACAGCCCTGGGCGGCAGGAGAGGAGCAGCATGTGGGGGCCTGAATATATGTATTGTTATAACAGCAATAAGAATACAACTACTGAAATGTAGTGAGAGTCCTATGTATTGTATAAGTGGGTCCTAGCTATTCTAAATGAGTCACAGCTGCGAAGTCCTTAGCTGGGCAGCAGCTGTGGCTCATAAAGATAGCTGGGATAAAAGGGGTGGGTCGAGAGCCCAGGAGGAGCCCCTGAGAAACCATGAGGAACTGCACTACAGGAGAACAGGGAAGAGTTACGTAGCAGAGAACCAGCGAGAAGGTATGGACTCTTTAAGAATATAATAACAATACGATAACAACAGCAGTGAGCAGGGCTGCAGCAGCGGGGGCAGCCAGAACTGCTGGCACTGCCCAGAGCTGCTCCTTCCCTCTCAGCAGCACCACCAGAAGTGAAGCCGAGCGCTGCTCATCCCGTGCCAAATTCTCACCTATAATCCGAAGTGCAATAACAAGTGCCACGACAAATCCCAGAAGAAACGTAATCACGAATGACTCAAAGCCTAAGACGGAAAATGGCAGATGAGCAGGAGTTGGGCACTAAAACTCCTCCCAGCTGGAGCCCAGCACCCTGTGCCAGGCAAGGCAATGTCCCAGAGGCAGCAGCAGCTCTGCCAGCACCGCCCTCCTTCAGCAATGCAGAGGCCCCAGAGGGAGGAAGGGGCCAACCCCAGGGTCCCTGTGCCCCCCACTGCAGGTCCCACGTCCCCGACCCCATGAGACACCCAACTTACCCATGGTCCAGGGATCCAGAACTGCCATGAGTCTGCTCTAATCCCGGTACCCTTGGGAAGCAAGAACAAGAAATCTTTCCATGGGCAGCAGGTGGGGTCAGCGGGGCTTTGCTGCCCTGCACGATCTCCCCCAGCCACCCCTCTCCCACCCAGGACAGCCCAGCTGTCCCATAAGAGCAGAGACCCCTCAGTGCCCAGCCAGGCTCCAGCCCAGCCCAGGGCTACCCGGGCTGCTCCGCCAGCGCACGGACTCAGACCTGCAGGGATACTGAGATATTTATTGAGGGAAAGGAGCTGGTTTTATACCTTTCATCAAGGCCCATGATTTCCTTGTACATTTTTTATCACTAAGGGACCTATCACACATTGCCACATCAGCAATCATTAAACATTCTTAAGGCTTTATTATCATCCTTTTATGGGGTGATCTCGTGCCATCCAGGTGTCTGGCAGATTCCAACAGGCTCCTCTCCTTAGGGCATCCACCAAGTGGCATTTCTTCCCAAGGTCAGGTGAGACATTTCCTAAAGAGTTTATAGAGTTCAATGTATGGTATTCATAAGTGAATTATTGAGACCCTCAAAAGGGTTTTTGTTTCAATCATACCTGTATTCTGGAAAAGTGATTAAAAACCTTTAACCTTAATGAAAGAGTGCAGCCATCCTCCTTTCCTCTATGNCATCCCACACACGGCTCCCAGGAGCCAGGACAAGGGCCCAGCCCAGCAGGAGCAGCGGGCACAGCGTGTCTGGAGCACCAGCAGCCCTGAACCACCCCAAACCAAACAGAGTGGGTGTGGAGGGGACAGGGAGCAAGGCTGGAAACACGGCCTGTGCAATCCCTGCCTGGAGCACAGCACAGCCCCAGCTGCGGGGCAGGAACCTGAGCCACCACGCACGCCAAGCAACACCACATCCACCCACACCAGAAATGCACTTCTATTAAAGTATTCAAAAGCATTTATTGCTCAAGGCCATCCAAATCTGTTAAAGGGGCAGCTGGGGGTCTTTGGGCGATTTCCAGTTCCAGCAGTGGGAATACATGAATCAAGCCAGTTGGAAGGAAGGAAATCACTTTCTGTTCACTGGCAGTGGGCACTTGGAGCTCTTTCCATGGACAGCATGATGCCTGCTGCTGCTTGCAGGGCAGAGTCAGTCCTCATGTTTTCACATCTATAAAGACAGGAGTGTCAGGTCCCAGAAGCATCGAGGCTGCCTGCTGATGGACCAGCATGAGGGAGGGACAACCAACAATGTCTCTCCAGTCTGTGCCAGAGAGTTGGCCTGCAGTCAGCTCTGCTCCATGAGCACACCCAGCCCCTTTCTACTCTCCCTTTCCACCTGTGGCCAGTGTTGCCAGTGGACACAGCAGTTCTTGCCACAGAGCACTCACCTCCCTGCACAGCCCCAACGCCCTCAGCCCTAGCCCTGACCCCAGCGGGTCCTGGCTCTCCCCACCACATTGCGATGGATCCCTTTCCCACACTTTGGGCACATTCACACCAGGGATGGCTTCAAGGGCTGCTTTGGCTTCAGAGTAAGCCCAGGGTGCAACCCCGTGTTCCACCCAGCACAGCCCAGCCCCCCTACCCTCCCCACTCACCATATGGAAATGTACACCCGGGAGATCGATATCGATGTTCAAAGGCTC